GGGGGGGGGGGAAAGAACCAAGAAAAGGGATGGTATCTGTTACGGATTGTGTCTCCCAAAAATAAGGGTCATAATCCCACTTGGGAATGGGAGTTTCTCTTACTACGTTATTCTGACTGTGTCTGAAATCCCCTTCCTTTAAGAGACAAGTAGACTAAGCAGGAAGCAAGCAGAGATGGGGGAAGAGATGCGTGCGCATGAGGGCCCCCGGAGCCCAGAGCCAACAGAGTGTGCATCCCTAGAGGGCTCCTGGGTCCTTCTAGCCTCCTCAACTTCTGAGAGAATAATTAAAGCCCTCCATTTGTGGTATTTGTGTTAGAGCAGCCCTAAGAAACTAAGATGGTGGTGTAGAGGTGGGCAGATTCAGGGGCCACTGGACTGGGGAGAACAAGGAGAGGGCGGCCTCATCTGCCCTAGTCCACAGCGCCTACCCCTCCTGAACCTCTTCTTTCCCGAATAAAGGACCCTAAGAAACCAGAGTTGTAGTTTTTATTAAAAGTTCCAAATTGCCTTCCTAGGGTCCTGTGCTCGGGTGCACCGTGGTCCCCTGTCCCAGCACCAGTATGCCCAGTCACTCCATGCTGCTGGGACTCCCCCCAGGCCTGTCTTCCTGTCCCTCAGCCACTGTCCACTGGCGAGGTCCCTTGGCATACTTCGGCAGAAGCCCTAGGCCTTCGCGCTTGCTGTCTATGATCTGCCTCCAACCATCACTCCAGGAGAGCAGCCGTCTCTTCGTGGGGGGCAGGGTCAGGTGCCGATTGTGACAGCAGGTGAACAAGATGTGCTCCCAGCTTGGGGTGTCCTCTTGGCCTAGTACAGAGCACAGGAGAATGGCAGCGAGCATGTAACCTATTCCAGATGCCTGGAGGGAGGGTGCCCAGGAAATGGGTCTCACCTTGAATGGTGTCCTTATCATCAATGAGCAGGTCCCCCAACACCACCGTCTTGTCCCTTGTGAGAATGATGCGTTCCACAAACTCAGATCCCAGGTATTTCTCCACCCAGTGGTACTGCAGAAATCATAGACTGTTAGTAGGACCCACTGGGCCCTGGACAGGGCTGGTGAGCTGAGCCTGCTGTCTATGTGTGAAGGGGGGGGACGGGACACTACGTACCTTCTCAACTACACAGTGCTGGTACTTCAGGATGGGGCTGGTGCAGATGAAGACTTCCGTGCTACAGGAAAGGGGCACACCCTTAGGCAGAGGGTTCCCCCTAGCACTCTGTCACTTCCCTTCTGCCGCCTTTCCCCCCATTTTATCTTACTCTTTCATGTCTTTCATCTCCTGCATGGCTTCCAGTGCTCCAGGGATGGGCTCCAAGTCCAGGAAAAAGCCTGGGGTTTCATACACACTGGCCACTTTATCCTGGAAGATACCCCTCAGTCAACCTTTAACAGATCTAGCCCGTCAGGATGCTCTCCAAAATCGTGAAGGGGGGATGGGGCTATTTCAAACGTGCATCCAAGTGGGGTTGGGAAGTTATTGACAAGGAAGGGTCAGGGGGGGCTGTGGAGTCATGGGTCCGGGCTCCCGGGGGGCACTGTGGGGTCATGGGTCCAGATTCCCAGGGCTGCTGTGGAGTCTGGGCTCCCAGGAAAGCCATGGGGTGGGGTCATGGGTCCGAGTTCCCGAGGGCCCCCTGGGGGTCTTGGATCTGGGTTCCCGGGTCCACGCTCCCCCTTTCCACCGCTCCCCTGTCCTACCGCCAGGTCAGGCCGCAGGCCCCGGTACTGCTCCCGGGCCAGGAAGCCGCGGCGCTCCTCCAGCGGCACGTGTGGCTCGGCCGGGAAGCGGCGGCGGAAGCCCCGCAGGAGGGCGCCCTCGAAGTCGGCCAGCACGCCGTCCATGTCCACCAGCACCCGCACGGCCCGCGCCATCGCAGCCCGAGTGGCCACCCCTGGACTGGGGACGCGGACCGAGGCTGGGGACGGGGCGGAGCGGGCGGCGCCGGGAGCTACGAGGGCTCGGCCCGCGCTTCCGGAGTCGCCAGGGGAAGGGCTCAGCTCATTTGCATGGGCGCCAGTCGTCCCCACCGCGGGTTTAATCCCCCGGACGCGGGCTAAAAGGGCGTCCTGCTTCTGATCCTCAGCTTCCCAGCCTGGTCACATTCCCCTTCCTCCACCTCACTGCACACGCACCCCACTAGGCGAATAGTACCAGGGGCGAACCTTCCAGCGCCCAACAAAGGCTCGATTCAAAGCTCTGGGAAACAGCTGTTAAAGTTAAAAAACCAAATCAAACAAAACCCGTTACCATCAACTGCATTGGGATTCATGTTGACCACAGGTGTTACAAGTTACAATGTAGACCTGCTCTTAAGGATTTTCTAAACTGTAGCCTTAACAGTGTTCTGGTGCGGCCTTGTAAGATAAGCACTGGACTGCTGACCACAAGCTTGGGAGTTCAAACCCACCAGCCGCTCCTCAGAGTTCCTATACCGGGTCACTAAGGAGCTCTGGTAGCGTAGAGGTTACAAATCGGGCTGCTAACCTCAGGGTCAAGGAGCTCTGGTAGCGTAGTGGTTACGAATCGGGCTGCAAACCTTAAGGTCAGCGGTTCGAAACTACGAGCCGCTCCGCGGGAGAAAGATGAGGCTTTTTACTCCCATAAGGATTTACACCCTCGGAAACCCTATACAGGGTCGCTATGGGTCGGAACCGACTCGACGGCACTTAACAACAACAACAACCACCTCAGGGTCAGCAGTTTGAAACCTCCAGCTGTCCCGCGGGAGAAAGATTTACAGTCTCAGAAACCCTGTGCAGGGTCACTATGGAAACCTACTCCATGGCACATAACAACAACAACAAGGAGCTCTGGTAGCATAGTGGTTACAGGTCAGCAGTTCCGCCGGAGAAAGCTGAGGCTTTCTGCTCAGGTAAAGATGTACAGTCTCAGAAACCCTGTGTAGGGTCGCTATGAGTAGGGACCGAGTCCACAGCACACCACCACCACCACCGTGAGATCGAAACTACTCGACCAAAGGAGCCTGGTTGTGCAAGGGTGAAAGAACCCGCAGAAAGACATAGCGTCAGTTTCCATGAAGGTTGTAACCCTGTGGAGCAGTTGTACTCTCCTTGTTGTTGTTGTTGTTAAGTACCGTGGAGTCGGTTCTGACTCATAGTGACCCTACACAGGGTTTCCTAGGCTGTGTCTCCTTACAGGGTGCCTATAAACCAGAATCAACTTCATGTAAATGGATTTGAGTCTCAATGGAACCAAATTGCCAGGGCATTTAAAGCACCTGGGTGGGTTCCACCCCTCAGGTTGAGGTTAATTAAGTACCACTGAGTATATTCTGACTCATAGTTTCACTGTATAGGGTTTCTGAGGAGCAGCTGGTGGATTTGACCTTGTAAGGCTTTAAATCTTTGCAGGAGCAGAAAGTCTCATCTTTCTCCTGTGAAGCAGCTGCTGGGCTCAAACCACCGGAGCTACCGAGTTACCTTAAAGTAAGTGGACCACAAACTGTTTGCTCCACCTGTTGTTTTACATTTTAAGTCAGTATTTCCTCAACACGTCATATACTTAGTTTCATTGCAAGGAGTTACCAACCCACTTGAGAGTACATAACCACCATCAATAGGTATGAATTGACGTCATTATTAGTAAATTTTCCTTTCATTTTCATTTCTGTTATGTTAATGTTTACTAAATCTTTCTGGTAGTCTTTCTTTTTTTTTTTTTTTTTGATGTGCAGGTATATTATTTTTCTTTGAGGTTACTTTGTAATTTATTAAATTTTTCCCTGCTTAAAATAGCCTGTTTATCTTGTAATCTACTTGACTTCCTTGCCATTTGGAAACTCTGTATCTAACTATTCCCTCTTTTTGCTTTGTAGTGGACTTAATTATACATTGATATCTCTGGTTCCCTGTTTTCAGTCTTGTAGACAGGTACAAATCGGACTGCGAACCTGAAGGTCAGCAGTTCAAAACTACCAGCCGCTCCACGGGAGAAAAATGAGGCTTTCTACTCCCATAAAGATTTACAGCCTCGGAAACCTTGTACAGGGTCGCTATGGGTCGGAACCGACTCAACGGCACTTAACAACAAATACTTGTTTTATTTTAAGTACTTCTATATCTGGATTGAGTTCTGTGTGGTATTATCATGTATGGTAATCTCAGGTTGTTGTCTGCAGTTGTTGGTTCTCAATCCAAATAACACCCTTTAGCATTTTTTTTTAAGTTGGTCTGGTCATTACAAATCTCTTTCATTTCTATTTATCAGGAAATGTCCTAACTTCCTGCAATATTTGAGGGAGAGCTTTGCTGGGTGTGAGATTCTTGCTTGGCAATCTTTTTCTTTCAGAGTTTTGTATATGTCATCTCATTGCCTTGTCTTTTTTAATTTATTTTTTTTAAGTTTTTATTGTGAATTGAGTAATAGTTTACATGGGAGAACTTCGATTTTATACTCATCCTATCATATTTCGTTTCATTACAATGATTACAATCTTCTCTGTGCACCCACCATCAGTCAACAGTATTTGCTTCTGTTCCCTCTGGGTTTGTTTTGGTTTGGTTTTAGGTATACACAAAACCAATCAGGAATCTATAATAATGTAAACAACCGAAGTGCACATTCTGCAAGTCTGCCTCTTGGCCATAGCTATCTCTTAGTCCCTCTCTTCCTATGAATCTAGAGTCCTCAGCTGCTCCCTCTCTTCATGTCCTCATCTCTGCCTCCATCTCTGGTGTCGCTGCTTCTCTGAATAGGGTCCCACGTTCCGCTCATTCTTGTCTCCCTTCATGGTATTAGGGTCCTCTGTTCCTAGACTGTAAGGCATTCGTCTGTATATAGTTGTTTCTCGGATTATTGGTTCGACAAACAGATTACACAAATATAATGAAAGGCTATAACCCTGATGCCTACCTTTTCTGATTTTAAACCATTCAGTATTCCCTTGTTTTGTTCTAAGGACTGCCTCTTAGTCTTTGTGCAAGTTGTTCTAAAATTAGTATAATTAAGTGTTCTAAAATTCCCATTCTTTGCAATGTTATTCACAATTTATCATCCATACAGTTGAATGCCTTTGCATTGTCAAAAAACACAGATAACTATCTTTCTGATATTCTCTGCTTTCAGCCAAGATCCATCTGATGTCATCAGTGATATCCCTCATTCCACATCCTCTTCTGAATCGAATTTGTATTTCTGACAGTTCCCTGTCTATGTACTGTTGCAACCATTTTTCACTTATCAGCAAAATTTTACTTTTATGTGATATTAATGATATTGTTATATACTTTCTGAATTCTGTTGGGTCACCTTTCTTTGGAATAGGCCGGAGTGTGGATTTCTTCTAGTGTGCTGGCCAGGAAACTGTCTTCTAAATTTTTTAGTATAGACAAATGAGTGCCTCTGTGTGTGGTTGTTAGTGCCATTGAGTCGGTTCCAACTCATAGCGATCCTGTTTTTAGGTTTTCCAAGGAGCGTCTGGTGGGTTTGAACTACCTACCTTGTGAGTAGCAGTCCAGTGTTTATTCTACAGCACCACATCAGGACCCCAAGGGACCTTAATAACCACCCACCCATTGACAGGCAGTCTATTCCAACTCATAGCAACCTCATAGGACGGAGTAGAAGTGTTGCATAGAGTTTCCAAAACTGTAAATCTTTACAACAGCCAACAGCTTTCTCTTTCTCCTGAAGAACAGCTGCTGGACTTGAACAGTCAATCTTGCAGTTAGTGACTCAATACTTTACCCACAGCACCACCAGAGCTCCCTAATAACAAATCAGGGCTCCTTCAATTTGTTGGGCCTCATGCCTGCCCTGCTGTGGTTAATGCACTAGACAGCAAAGTCAGTTTGAACCGCAAGGTCAGTGGTTCAAGATTACCAACCACTCCTCCAAACCCCTTTGCAGGGTCGCTATGGGTCGGAACTGACTCACTGGCACTCAACAACAACATGCCCAGGCTCCATACCCTTAAGTCCTGGGGTTCCAGTGGCTCTCTCTTCCCTGCTTGTCAGGGCTAGACCCCAAACTCTGGCTCATGCTACTATAATCCAGCACTAGCAGCAAACTGAGTCATGGGAGGGTCCTGCTAAATGTCGCAAGTGCATGAATCTATGCAAGACATGGGTCAACTAAGTCAGGCTCCTAAGAGACCACTTCTAACTCAGAGATGGGCTGCAGCAGAGGATCATCTATTTGAAGCCCCTACATCTACCTAGAAGACATGATTTCCATCAAGCTCTGATAAGGGGAACCTACCACCACCACCAGGCTCCTTTCTGTGGAACTGAAAGCTTCCCCTTCTGTAAACACTAAGCCTGCTGGATTTGTTGATTTCCATCTTTGTTGATTTCATGTAATTTCCTGACTACAGCTAAATATGACTAGGGTGGTGGTGGTGTGCTGTGGAGTCAGTTCCCACTCATAGCGACCCAATTGGTAAATCTTTCCTGAAGCAGGCAGCCTCATCTTTCTCCCACAGAGTCCCTGGCAGATTCGAACTGCTAACCCTTCTGTTAGCAGCCCAGCTCACAATCCACTATGCTACCGGAGCTCCTTACAGCTAAAAATTTGTTGTTGTTGTTGTAAAGTGCCACTGAGTAGATTCTGACCCATAGTGACCCTGTATAGGGCTTCCAAGGAGCAGCTGGTAAGCTTGAACCACTGACCTTGCAGTTCAAATGACTTTGCAGTCTGACACATTAGCCTACAGTGCCACACCAGGACTCCTAAATATGAGTCCCTACAATTATAAAATCAGATTTTGCTGTCTTTCCCCATCTGATCACCCCAATGCCTCCTAACCAATGGCCTAGCATCTCATTCTACAGCCACCGAATCTCAAAACACAAAGTCAAAAGGCATATGTAATCAGTACCAAGTCCCTGACTAGCTTTTTTATGTCCATGTTTAA